TTTTAAATCTCTAAATTTGATGTGTAGGAATTCTAACCGAAAATGAATAAAGAGCCTGAAAATTTAATTTAGGTAATGATACTCTCACTCAACTTGATCCATTTCTTTAAATACTTTGATTTCACTAGCGTTTATACCCAAATAGCTGCATTGGGTATAAAAAAATAGGGGTGCGCAATAGACTTACCTCCACGTGGCGCACCCTGGGCAACGTATATTCATACGGCAAAAAAGTCTATTAACTGGCAGTTGACTTCTCACTTCAAACTATCATCACCTCACTCTATGCCATATTCAACTATTTCACAGTACTCATCTCACCTTTGTTCTACCTTTGTGTTTGCCTCTTACATCTTTGAAACATTCTTCTGTTCCCCCCACCCCCTCTCGACTTTTTTTCAATTTGATTTTCCTTCCCCTCTGTGAAGCCTGAAGTCGACTAAAGGGCTAATGATGACGATCAAGACGCCTGCCATTTGATATTAATAAATAAATGATATTTATAACGCGTTAAGTGAATTCCGGTCATAGCAACGTTTGTTTCGCAAAATTATTGGATTCTTAAAGAGCGATTGGATTTTAGAGCCCCTCAATCAGATTAATTTAAGACGAGATTGTCCATGAAAGGCATAAAATTGCCAACTCTCATAATTATTAAGATAACTTTATCGAAAGTTACTCACCATTGAAGTCTTTGGACTCTTCGCTTTGAATCACTTGGGAGTGGCTGGCAACATCCTGTTTATTGAGAGATATCCAATCGTCGCAGTTGAAAATGTAACTTCGGGGTGTCGTGGGATCTTCAATGATAATTCGTTTCAAAAACCACCCTGAATTCGATCCACTCCCATCTCTAGAAACCTTGATATGAGAAATTTCCCCAAGATTTGAGAAGGGAAAAACGAATTTTGAAATGGCACCAGGAGCAAAGAGACTGTGTCTCTCAGGAGAAGTCAACTCAAACTGGGGACTCTCTCCGCCCTTTCCATACATTATTAAGGACACGTGACTATCCGTCCCAGCTCCAACAAAATCACCCGTAGCAACAGTAACTCGATAATCTGTTAAGCAGCACAGTTTATTACGGGAATGCGGATCTTACGTGTCAAGGGTACTGCTTTTCCCCTAAAATCCCGGATACTGAAGCCTTCTCCATCGTGACGAGACAACCACTTTCCAATTGGGAAAAACCAAACTTTTCCAGTACCCGGATGGGAAATTTGGATACTTGAGAGCAGTAATCCATCTCCTGGGCCTGTACCTTTATTCTGAATTTAAAAAAAAACAGTATGAAAAATCTAATTTTCTAATTATGAAATAGCGAACATATATATTCAATGTGCTAATTGTCAGATTGATTGATTGATTCCTCATCTCACTACCAAAGAACGGAAAACAATTAAATACTCTCATCGTTCCTTAATTAGGCCTGCTTATCACAGTCCCGTTTCTCCTCTTACTTTATTGGCATTTAACTCCTCACCCAAATTAAAACTCTCTTACTCTACGCAGCGACCTGATAGATGCTTCCTATGCACTTCAATCTTATTCTATGGTTTTCTTTGGGAAGGCTGGCTTATCGTGTTATCTTATTTTGAAGTTTCCTTGGTTTACATGTGGAAATATCTACATACTTAGTCGGACTCAAATGAAGGGTTCAGTACTTCTGTAGGAATTAGAAGAGAGATAAAGCCTTACTCTAAGTTAAAATTTTGCCTCCTTCAGCCCTCTCCCCCGGACCCCTAATAAGTAGAGACCCAATAAGCTGTTTGGAAATAACCTTCGTTTCCAAGACTTTACCTTCAAGATTGTGCTCTTACAAACGGAAACAAAACCTGCGCAATAGTAGTTAAAGAAATAAAGGACCATGATTATAGACTAGCACATCTTTTTTCCAGAAAAGACTATCAACGAACCAAAATTTCCTCAAATTTACTCCAATGAAAATATGAGAGTCTCGATGGTCAAATAAAAAGGAAATTGGAATGGATTTATGGTGTTAAAAAAAATCCCTCCTTTTACTCTCTAATAACAGTTTTATCCATATCTCGTCTTGTAGTAAATTCAATGAGCGTTTTAGACCTCCAGACAACTTCCGAAATCATAGCCGAACTATTTAATAACAAGACCTACGCTCTTATAAATGTATCCATGGAAATTTTAGTCAACTCAAATTATTTCCTTGGGTAATAACTTAGGTTAATTAATCAAGAAAATAAAGATTCACATCTATCCTGAATTTCATAATTTGTGTATTCAAGTGCTATTGGAAATGAATAAGTAAACCCGAAAAGAAATAGAAGGGCTTGTTTCGAGAGGTTTCGCGATCACAATAGCCTCAGGCTACTTCAAACCTCCTTATTCTATATTCTCCTCAAAGACCCCATAATGGAAAACTTCTATTGCAGACCCGCTTCTACTCAAACAGCTTCCAACTTTCCCTCTTTTTCACTTAAATTTGTTCACAAAACATTTGGCCTTCTAACGTGGGAATGGTTGCTATTTCTTGCCAGCCACTCACATTAAACTCTACCAATGTGATTTAGTACTATGCTGGAGTAATAATAAAGCAAGATTTAAATGAGTACTACAATTTTAATTAAGTGCGCCAATATAAAATCAAGCATATAAGAGAAATGTGTGAAATACCTCAAGGAAAATCCAAGAAACCTCTCCAACATTTTTGCATTGAACTTCTAATTCCTTTGAGGTTCCCATATCTAGAATAATTCCATTAGTGCCATTGATTGCAATGGGTTTAGTAATTCCTTTATCTCCTTTAAGCCGAAGTCGAACCTAAATTAATGTAAAAATATTTTTAATAAAGTAAGATAGTACTGCTTTCATTGCTTATGTTCATTTAAATGATTAAATAATTGGAAGTATTTTGTTTGGACATTAGAATAGGTATTATAAGTTTAAATACTAAATAAATTACAAAATTACCGGTGAAGTTGTTCCAGCATTACGTTCACTTGAAACCGTAACCAGGATGATATATTGTGTGCTTTCACTCTCAGTAACACCTGTTTTCCTGTTTTTAGTGACAGCTTTATAAAAAGTCTTATTACGGATCATGAAGTCTGAGTGTTTATATGAACCCGTTTGTAAAGCGCCATTATAACGACGCTTGGGAACCTAAAATGAAGCTTCTCGAACAGAAAATGCATTACCAGTGTCTGATTGAAGTATTCGTAATCATTGTCATAGTCATCTATTAGACTTATATCTATATCCTCAATTAAAACTTTAAAAGAATCGAACCATTATCATCTTCTTTTATATCTGTATATTGTTTCATATATAAATGGTTATTAAGATTAGCTTTGTTATCTCTCGAATCTCCGTTCATCGTCATTCCAATTGTACTCAACAAACTTTCCCACATAATTTTTATAAGTTAAAACGAATTCATCCTTTAACTAAAATTGTTAATATTTATAAATTTATTCTTGAATATTAAAATGCATAAATCATTATTTAATTATTCTAAAACATATTCACTCATTTAATTTTATTATTCATTTTCCTTATATTAAATTTAATTAAACAATTACTCTATATTTTAAATTTTACTTATATAACAAATTTAAAATAAATCATTTAATAAGTACAATTTTTATGAAAGCTTTGCCTTTCGAGCATGAACATTTTTTGAGTGTATATAAGTATAAATCTCTCACTTCGAAATACTTTCCACTACGCCAAATAAGAGTTAGAAGTTCCTTATTGATCAAAAGCCTTCCTTGCTTCGTTCCGTTGAAACAAATAGCTAATTCCTACCACAGACCTTGCAGCAGGGAACCCTTTCTATTTACTTCAATCAGCGTATGTTCAAAGAAATTCCCCCCCCCCCCCCCCACATTTATTACTAATGTCAACTGTGATCATTCACTTCGATTTAAAGGATGCGCTCCTCTAAGGAAAATTGCAGTTTGGATTTAATTTTCAGTTTTAATGAAGATTTGAATATGACTTAGGTTGTATTTTACATTCTGGCAAAGAATTTCGATTTCTGAAGAACAAAACCAAGAAAACTTATAGAAAGACTAGATCACCTGCGAAGACAATAGTTGGCTGGAAAGATTGCTTATAACAATTGCCCACTTTAAGTTCATTATTTGATGTGTTAGTTTTAAAATCCTATCGTTGATAAGATTATTTAATTTCAGTATATTTTGTCAATAGAAAATTGAGCTAATGCATTTTCTGACGAGGAAATTTCATGGAATCTCTCCATAATTGAAAAAAGGGTTTTAATTTCGAGTCTGTAATGAGAGAGGGCTATATTAAATCATTAGTAGTAATTTTTATTGAATCCAAAATGCTATATTCTTGTAGACAATTCAAATTTTCGCTGTTTATTCCTATTCTGTTGCTACTATATTACTTTCTGTAACACATATCAAGAATGAATAGAAAAATTCAAATACTATTGAGCGCTTCTGGAAGACTACAAAGTACAAAGTCGGCTCTGAATTTTTCGTGTATTACTTGGCAAGATACAAAAATGAATGACAAAGGCGGAAATTTAATATAAATTTGAATTTGACGAGACAATGTCCAGACCATCCAGATTCATGGATTTTATTCCATTCTTATGAAGGTTCTTAAATTATATCACTGAAGCCAGGGCAGATATAGCCAATCTTCAATGATTAAATGAAAGCTGTCTCCATGAGGATCTGCTCATTTTCACGAGGCAACCTGCGTCATTTTTCCTATTACCATATATTTACAAATTGTACTTGTTTCTAAATAACTATTGAGGTTATACACCTCCAGTCACATCAGCCAATTATTATCAACTTCGAATTATGTCAAATGTTTCTGGGTGATGTTAGTGTTTGGACAAAGGTAGGTATATCTTCCTCATCTGTTAATTGTCCTCGACGATAAGTGTAAAAACGAATGAAAGGATCTTCTTTTGGCTCTTTTCTACTCCCTAATTCAATATGTTTATGAACACAAATGTACCAATAAAGTTTGATTTAGAAAATGCTATTATATGTGGCAAAAATGCACGTAGATATATTCAAAATTAACTCCCAAGCTCACATTGTGGGACGGCTTTGTTTAAGCAACTCATTTCTTCGTTCAGTGTGGCATTGAGTTCATTCGTTAAAATTGCATAATTATTTTAAGACTTTATCATCACATCACATTCCCAATTATCATCGGTTTAACACTCTATCCTGCTTATATTTTGCCTCAATAATGGCTCTCTTCTATATTCGAGACGTCACAAAACAATAAAATGGTTCCATCCGAACTTTAACCTGAGAGGAAATATGTGCATGTAGTCTATGATTCTATTGATGAATTCTTTTGGCAAATCACGCACTTCGCTCTGGTATGGAGTCATAGTATTCCTCAAAGGTCACTCTCAGGGCAGGCATTGGTAAAAACCTGGTTATTCGCAGTTGATAATAGATAGGAGTTGCACACATCTTTTGGTGAAGTTCAAGAGCAAGTGATGTTACCATGTAGTTGTTGGATTACCTAGATCGTCGTTGGTGCTTCGGACGTTCTTCAGTAAACGTATTTATCTAACCAAAGGTAAAAACGTAACTCTCCCCAATGGTGAAGGCATACTTTGTGTTTCATTACACTTTATTTTTCACTCCTCTAGGTTAAGCTGGGATAAGAAAGCGTTTGGTTTTTAAATGTTAATTTAAAGTTCTTGCAGATTTAGTCCATAAAAAGAATTTTCAGCGCAACCTACAGATATCAATAGACCAAAATTTTATTTTCATTTGTTAAAAAGACTGCTAAAGAGCAAAGTGTTTTCAGCTTTATTGATTTTATACAATTAAATGTAATATGATAAAACGTATTAGTTGGTTAACATTAGACATAAGAAGCTATGAAAATGTGCAAAAGTTTTCACAAGTATGTTGAACTGCATCTTAAGGCATCAATGCATTTTGGTCTCCACTCATTTGCGTTTGTAGTATTCATTTAAAAATAAAAGAAAAGTGTATAAATAATAATTGTAACAATTCGAGCTTAGGATAAGCCAACAAATTTTAAGGCCATCTAGGTCATTCATATTTTGTGAAATGTCTTGACTTGGTAAGTTTTCACTAGCAACTGTGTTTCAAGATTAGATATATCTAGCTTTATTTAAATGTTAGTTATGTGTGCAGCATATAGAAGGATTGTTAATTTATGACTATGCACGTTCTTTAATTAATTTATATGGAAATTCTCTAATTTAGAATTTCATTTAAATCTTATTATAAAAGTTTGAATTATATTTATATTTTATTGCAATTCATATTCAGCTTGGTGACTGTGGAAGGCAGACATTGATTCACGAGGCTAATTTCTCGGCATCCTCTTCACTTGTTCTTAATAGTGTATCCCCAACGCGCCATCAACTCGAGTATCCTGTAAATAATGTGGATTTTCAATTTGCGACTGGTTCTACTTCTTCCTCATTGGCGCTGAACTAATTTCAGAATCTCGCGAAGGCAGATATTACTAAACAATAGAAGTGTAGGTTGGGGTTAGGTAATATCAACAGTTGATCCATCTAGCCACGATCTGCGAATGCGAAGCCGAAGATGCAATACTTGACAAATCAGTAGTAAGCAATCCTTCTTCTTTGGCCCTCCAATCCTCTACCAAATGCTCTAATAGCAAGTGATTCTCATTCTTCTCGTTCGCCTCTCTGTCCATCATCTACCAACCATGAGGCCAAGAGAAACCTTGATTAAAAAAAGATCTGGGGGTGGATCTATGCACTGAGTAAGTAGGAGGTAGGTAGAGAAGAGAATGAAGGGAAAAGACATGGTGAGGTGCTCAAAACTGCTTTGCAAATATCGCTACACCAGCTGCTAATGGCGCTGCTGCCGCTGCCTCCTTCAACCGCAAATTTCGATTGTCTGATTCAAATGTTTCTTGTTTGAATTGCTTGTGAATAATATGAACACTATTCCGTCCTCTTCTCCCTCCTATACTTTAATTCGCCCTACAGTTAGAGTGAAGTTGCTGGGTTTAGCTTGGGGTGGGCATTTTACCTAATCTTCAAGAGCAATAGGCAAAAGTACTCAGGTGCTTGGTGGGTTAGAGTAATTCACATTCGAAGTTTTCTCGAGGATGCATAGTTGAGTAATTTATTTTTTCAAATGGCTGACGTTTCGATAGTTATCATTAGCCCCTTGGCTGACTTCGGGCTACACAGAGTGCGGTTATATAAAAGTCACAAAAAGTCGAGAGGGGAAGTGCCAATTATTTTTTATTTTATTTTTAGGGATTTTATTAAGATTCTTTCCATCCATAAGTCGGTTTTCACATTGTAATTTCTGTATGTTACTACTACCATAGTGTTTATTATGCGGCCTGCATTATAGGCATGGTTTTTATTGTACTAATTATTCTTTCAACTGCCGGAATAAATGTTGCATTAGTCACATAAACTCGAGTTGGAAAATGTTCAAGTTCTATATTATTAATTTCTACTTAATTTTATTAGTAACATTATTAGGTTTGTGGGGACGTCTCGATTAACGCGACTTCTCATGCATGCACGCCAGGATCGGGAGGTGCGGCCGTATAACTCTCTGCGCAGCAACCGCCCAACAAGTGGCCAACCAGAAGCCTCTGTTTGTTTAACCTAGTCCGCCATGCTGATTATGATTAAGCTCCCTGAGTGTACACTATACTCACGTTATACTTACAGGATAAACCTGTTCCGCGCGATACCCCTGTCTCCTCTATGGCAGGGCTACAGTTTAGCTGGTTCCGGGAGTCTAACTAGATGTAAGAGAATCTGCCAAAGAGATTTCTGAGTCAGTCAGGCTTTACTAGTGTAGCAATCCTCTACAAATTGGTGACCCTGGCGTGATTTGCTCATTCAAAGCATATTGCCTCACTCGGGAGTGGAGTGCTGCCTGGTCAATTGGCGGTAAGAGGGCGCCAAGGTCTTCGTTAGTGGTTGCTATGACTGGCATTCCTGCTAGTAACCGCCCTGCTCCGTACGTCACATCAACCTCAAACCTGTCTCCTCCAAGGAGACACTTATAATCATTCTTTGTCGCCGTCGTAACCCTTGGTTCTTCCATCAGGGCAACTGAGCAAGTTGTCGAAATGAAAGGCGGTCTGATCACCACGACGACACACCGTTCCAATCAAAAGATGCGAGGTTATGAGACAGGCTAGCAGTGCTTTACCAGTGTTGGTCTGGCCTCGGAATCACAGTGTATTGGTTTTGGTTGTTTTCTTTTGTCCATGATTTGTACAATGTCGCCTAGAAGGGAGCCAATATCAACGATATTTGCGTTGAGCATCGCTATCAACCAGCTAGCACCCAACCCAATATCTTCACGATGCTTCACATGGCAATAATGTTGCAATTCACTGAGGTTTCGCAAGTAAGCATTAGTCTTCCCCTTTGCCAATCGCTCATTATTCAATGCCCGTATCTGCTGCCTAGCAACCTCACCCCATTGAGTACCGATTGATGAATTCGTGAAGGTGGTTTCGTAAGCATTGAATTTATGAAAAACCTCGTCAAGGGTCTTACAGTGTGACCACGTAGTTCTTCCAGGAGATTGAAGTACTTCTGCATTCTATGCTCGCCCTTCCACTTTCTTGAGGTTTAAATTCGTTCACGCCTATTGTCCGACGAACATGACGAAGTCGACTCTCCAACTGCGACAATCCCGTCTCAGCAGTTCTAATACCTGTCACACCTCCACCCAAAACCCTGTTACACTAAGGCCGAAGATCTACCTTCCCCCCCCCCCTCAACTGGTTGATATTGTACATTGACCTTTATTTTTCGAGCGTTTTCGTTGCATTTCAGCTAACTACAAACGCTCTGGAGGGGGGGCGGGAGAGCATTGTGGGACACGTCATCGCATGCATGCACGCCAGGATCGGGAGGTGCGGCCATACAACTCTCTGTGCAGACAACCACACAACATGTGGCCGATCAGAAGCCTCTGTTTGTTTAACCTAATCCGCCATTTTGATTATGATTAAGCTCCCTGTGTGTACACTATACCTACCTTATACTTACTGAATAAACTTGTTCCGCTCTATGCGTCTACTTCCTCTTAGCTAGTTCTGGGAATCTAGCTAGATGTAGGCGACTCTGCCAAAGAGATTTCTGAGTCAGTCAGGCTTTACTAGTGTAGCAGTCCTCTACAGGTTTCTGTACAAATTGTTCTTTTATTAATATATTGAGCTATAATTTTCGCGTATTTTTATTTATAATTTTTGTTTTGTACATATATTGTAATTTTAGCTTAAATAGAATTGTAGTTTGTTGCTAATATGGTTTTTGGTTCCTATCTGGTTTATTGATGCAATCGACTCTCACGGAAGGCGGCATTCCGACTGATAACGGCTTGCTTGAGTCGTTCATACGAGTTGTTGTCTGCCTGCTCGTCGATGATATTACTGAATTGGCTCACGATTGGTCCCTGAAGTGATCCCGCGGCAGAATGGAATCAGGTTGTTCGTTTGGTAATGCCTTTCGCACTGAGGATGTACTTAAATTGTAAGAACCAGGTACCAGGACAATCAGGGTCGAAAACGGGGTTAGCAAAGGGATAACCAGGGGTATTGTCACCAAATTCTGTCTCTTTCGACGTTGTGAGGTAGTAAGAGAGAGAGAGAGATGGTTCGAGTATATATATTTCAAATGGCAGGCGTTATGATAGGTATCATTAGCCCTTTAGTTGACTCCGGCGTTATGATAGGTATCATTAGCCCTTTAGTTGACTCCGGGCTTCACAGAAAGTAAGAGGAACATCAAAGTGGCAAAAAGTCGAGAGGGAGGGAGAACAGAATAATGATTCAGACGTAAAAGAGACAGACAGACACAAAGGTAGAAAAAAGGTGAGGTGAGTATTGTGGAATGAGTCGAATATGAAATGCAGTGGGGTCTTAGTAGTTTGAAGTCAGAAGTCAACTGCCGATTAATAGACTTTTTTGCGGTATGAGTATACGTTGCCCAGGGTGCACCACGTGGAGGTAAGTCTATCTCACACCCCAGATGGTTCGAGTAAGTGTATGGTTGTTCGAAAAAAGAGATTGCCAACGAGTGA